ATGTATGTTGCAAAAGCATAGAATAAAAGTCAGAAAGAATATATACAGACTCAGCGGCTACCTTTTAGAAGGCTGAGGGTAGCCGTGGATGATAGGAGTTCAGCGGGGGTGGGGCGGCTTCAGCTTTCTCTGCAATGCTATAGGTTTGGGGGAGGCAAAAGAGTTAATGAACCTCATGTAGAATAGAGGTTAATTTTTAATTTTTTAAAAATATATTTATTTATTTATTTTTGGCTGCATGCAGGCTTTCTTTAGTTGCGGCGAGTGGGGGCTATTCTTCGTTGTGGTGCGCAGGCCTCTCACTGCGGCGGCTTCTCTTGTTGTGGAGCACGGGCTCTGGGCGCGCAGGCTTCAGTAGTTGTGGCTTGCGGGCTCTAGAGCGCAGGCTCAGTAGTTGTGGCGCACGGGCTTAGTTGCTCCGCGGCATGTGGGATCTTCCCGGACCAGGGCTCGAACCCGTGTCCCCTGCATTGGCAGGCGGATTCTTAACCACTGTGCCACCAGGGAAGTCCCTAGAGGTTAATTTTTAAAAGAGTTTGGCTAGGGGAAACAGATAGTGCATCTAGGGGGGTGGTTGGCAGAATACGTGAAAAGCTGAGAGAATGGCTAAGAAGGAATGGGAGAGCGTGTACTATGAGCAAAAGCCCTCTGGGGCTTGCAGAGGGGAGGAAAGAGAAGAGGAGAGTGAGAAAGTCAAGGAGCCTGGACACACAGAAGGGATCACTGGGGAGGGAAGGTGAAGAGCTGGGCTGCTCATTGCTTTGTCCTTGGCCGGGCTGGGAGCATGACCCACAGAGATGTGTTTCCTGATGCTTAAGTTTCCAGCTGTGACAACTAAGGTTCTTCCTCACACCCCTCCTATCCTCCTTTTAAGCTGGAGATCTGTTTCTTCCGCTGCTCAGATAGGAAGTTTTGATTATTTTTGCATAAGGACCCAGAATTGAAAATCAGTGCTCCTGCTACTGACCCCCCATCATCCAAAGGAAGTGGGCTCTGGTCCTGGGCACACTTTTGCTGTCCAGGGCTTCCCAGCAGGACTGGAGACCTGCTTCTGCCCATGGCTGTGTGGATGGGGAACCTGCTTCTCCTGGGTCATGCTCAGGGGTCCTCAGGCTTACGAGGGGGTGGTGTGGGAGCCTCAGTTGCAGCCACCTGGCCAACCTTCAGCCCTGGGCTCAGCATCCCTGCACAGAGCTAGGCCAGAGAAATGCAAAAGGAAGAGTAAAACCAAACTCACCTCCCAGGCTCCACAGTACGCGGGCTTTGGAGTCCGATCTGACTTCATATGCCAGCTCAGCCCCACGGCCAGCGTGTATAACTTTGTGCAACCTCAGATTTGCCATCAGGGTTTCTGGGCACTAAGCAAAATAAAATGTGTCAAGCCCTCAGCTCCATAATGGCCCCCAGTATGTGATAGTGGTAGTTGAAAATAACGATGCTAACGATACAGCTCCTCCTGTCTCTTCAAGACTTTTATCAGAACAGCGTACTATGTTTACGTACTATGAATGTGGGGACATACTTAGAATAGTTTATTCTAGTGTGATGAACAGGAAAACTGTGTTTTAACTCAGTAAGTCTTTCCCATCCTGGGTTTTGTAAAGTTGGAGTTTCACTGTTTCAAAAAGCTCTAGTGAGCCTGGATTGAGAAGGGTCAGCAAAGAAATTGCTTCCAGCTGTCCAAGGGAGGCTTGTTGGGAGAAATGTCAGCTCCTCTGCCATGTTGGCTGGTCCAGGTGGGACCCCATTCAGCTAGGGAGGCACCCATCATTCCCCACAGCAAGGCCAGGACCAGGGAGAGGTGAGTGAGGCAATTGCCTGGGGGCAAAATTTAAGGAGGTGCCAAAAAACTCAGTAGTCAAGATAAATAACATTTTACTGCAATATATGTTTAATAAGAATTAATGCAGGGACTTCCCTGGTGGCGCAGTGGTTGAGAATCCACCTGCCAATGCAGGGGACACGGGTTCGAGCCCTGGTCCAGGAGGATCCCACATGCCACAGAGCAACTAAGCCCGTGCACCACAACTATTGAGCCTGCGCTCTTAGAGCCTGCGAGCCACAACTACTGAAGCCTGTGTGCCTAGAGCCCGTGCTTGGCAACAAGAGAAGCCACCCCAGTGAAAAGACCATGCACTGCAACGAAGAGTAGCCCCTGCTCGCTGCAACTAGAGAAAGCCTGCGCACAGTGATGAAGACCCAACGCAGCCAAAAATAAATAAATTTTTTAAAAAAAGAATTAATGCAAAAAAAAATTATGATGAACAAAATATCACCATTTTACACCCTGGCCTCCAGCCTCATCTTACTGACCCCTTTAGCAGCTGTCAGGGTCCTAACATCCTTCTTGCTGGGTGTCTTGGGCACGGCTAGGTCTGTCCTGGTCTAGGGGAAGGGAACTGGGAAATGGGTTCTGTGACTTGCCTTTCATTCAGCATGGGGAGGAGCTAGGAAACCTTTCTGGACAATTATCTTTGAGTGTGTGTATGATTTTTTTTTAATTTTTATTTTTTGGTGACCTTCATTGAGGAAATGAGAGACTTAAAACAAAACATAGAAACAAGTGATAGGAACATGAGAGTTTATAGTAGAAAAAGCAGATTTGAAAACTTCAGAAAGTCTTCTACTGTCTGTTGTCTATTTTTCAGAAAATAGTCAAGGGTTTGCAAAACCAAGAACAATTTTTCAGTTTTAAGTGCTTTCGCTTTCCCCCAACAATGCTGCTTCAGTAAATACAGGCTCAAGGGTACATCTTGTCTGCCCTTCTAGGATCTGAGCATTCTGTACACCTGGCTTGAAAGCTCAGCTGATTAGCTCTCAGACACCACCCATCTCAATCCTAGGCACATCCCCCCATCCCTGGCTGATGGGGCTGGATGCCCAGCGAGAGAGGATGTTTTCACCCAGGAAGAGACAGGAAACAGCTACAGTGTAGAAGATGTTGGTTTGATGAGACAATCCATTAGTTGGTTGACCCCTTCCCAAAAGAAATGGGATTAGGGGGAAAAAACCCCCAAAAACCTTCTTCTGCAAGTTGGAAGTCATGTGACAAATGATTTTTGTTGCAGTACAATATTTAAGTCAAACTAAATGAATAATAATATAATCATAGGCATTCTGCCATTCTTCTATATATTTTTTTTAAAAACTAATTTGAGAATATTTAGAAGTAAGGTACGCTGTTTGTGGCAATTATTTGTGGTGTGTATCTAAACACGCTGCTGGGCTTCCCTGGTGGCACAGTGGTAAGGAATCCGCCTGCCAATGCAGGGGACACGGGTTCGAGCCCTGGTCCAGGAAGATCCCACATGCCACGGAGCAACTAAAGCCCGTGCGCCACAACTACTGAGCCTGCTTTCTAGAGCCCATGAGCCACAACTACTGAAGCCCGCCCTCCTAGAGCCCATGCTCCACAACAAGAGAAGCCACTGTAATGAGAAGCCTGTGCACCGCAAAGAAGAATAGCCCCTGCTCGCTGCAACTAGAGAAAGCCGCACACAGCAACGAAGACCCAATGCAGCCAAAAATAATAAGATAATTTATTTAAAAAACAGAAAATAAAGTCGCTGCTGAGGGGGCTGCAGTTCTATCAAGGTGGATGTCGGGAGACCAGGTCAGGGGAGCTGGAGGAAATCTAGGGGCAGAAGGACCCCACTTCCGAAAGAAATGGCAGTGGAGGCAGGCAGGCAGATTTTAAGTTTTCAGGCAAACACTGCTTTTGAAAAAACCGGATTCTATAATTTGTTATATTAATGATCTTCTTTAAATTATTACTAAAAATGCCATCCAGGGGAACAGGAAGGTAGACTCTGTTTTGTCCTTCCCTTTACCTGTGAACTTCATTTAAAAAATCACTTTATTTTCAGCACCTTGGTTTTGTTGTTTTTGCCAGAAAGTAACTTTTCTGTTCAACAGTATATTAATGCAGAATAGAAATAAAGATGCTTTTAAAAATTCTTTCAAGCACAAAAGGAGATGGTTTTCAACAGATAATTTTACATATTTACATATTTTACCTTAAGCATTTTGTAGTCTCTGCCTACTGGTGAACGGATCAGATTTTTACACTCTTTCAAAATGAACCAGTTTGGCTTCTAAGCCACTGCAAAGGAAGGAAATGAATTCGAACTTTTTTTTTCCCCCCCGCTTCATTTTCGCATCTTCGCATTTCCTTATTTCACATGGTTTAAAATAAAATGCCTCCAGCTTTATTTTTCCTTTCTCAAGAGCAAAGTGAATGTGACTTTTCGGAGGGGTCACAGGATGCCCTGGGGGCCCTTGGGTGTTGCTGGGCCGCTGCCTGCTTTCAGCTTGACTGAAGGGCTTGTCAGAGTTTTCATCTCCTAAGAAACAAGCCGCCGGCGCTGGCCAGAAGCAGGGGAAGGCAGCCGTCTGAGTCCCACGCTGGTTCTTTCCCACTGACATCAAATCCTGAGGTTTTGAAAGTAATCCCACACAAAGACAGCCCTTCATTGTGGTGCCTGTTTGAAATTAGACTAGCAATAATGACCTTTCTAAGATGTCTCGTTGTTAAGATAGCCCCCTGTTGAGTCTGAAAGGCTGCTGAGGGCCTCTCCCCCACTCCCCCGACCAGAGTGGGTGAGATGCCTCAGCAGTCAGGTCAAGGTGACCGCCTGGCTTGGCCGGAGGTGCTGCCCGGTGGCAGGAAGTGGCCGCTAGCCCAGATGGCCGGGCTGCCTCGGGCCCCTATGACCTGGAGCCACCGTTGCTTCCCAGGTCTGAGCCGCTGACTGTCCCCGGCTGAGAACTGCTCTCACCTCCAGGTAAAACAGATTCCTTGACTTCTAACCAGTATTTTTGTTAAAGGGAACTAGAGCCATAAAGGGACTCGACCTGAACATTAGCAAAGAAAGCAGTCATCCCTCCAAGGAGGAGGAGCCCCCAAGGGGCACAGAATGGGGACCGGTGGTCCTCCGCAGAACCCCCGCTGAACCCCACTTATCTTGCTTCTTTTACACAGTGAGTTTTCTTCCCCGTAGCACGTGGCTTCCACAGCAAACTGCCTTGCTGGGGACGTGGATGGAGTCGGGTGCAGCCAGGTGGGCCAACCTGGGTTCAGGCATCTGACTGTGCCCCCTGAATCCGGAGCAACACAGCCGCCTCTCCGCTGGGCCCTGGCCACTCATCCACTGTCTCTGCGGTACCCACGGACTCTTCACACGGAGGCGACTAAGAAAACATTTCTCAGGGAGAACAGACTTGAATGGTAACATCCCTGCATATTAACAGAAACGGAGGAGTATTTAGAGCTTATGTGGTTTGAATGTGACCTTCTTACCAGACTAGCTCACAATAACAATTTAGTTATTTTCGAAAATGGCTGTACTTCTAAATAATTAGATATTGTAATCATTTCCATCAGTGACTCCATTCGGAGCCCTGTTTCCGTTAACATGGTCATTGTGCTACCGTGGCCTGCATGTAGCGCTCGGTCTTTGGAAATAGGAAGTGTATGTTAAGCGTTCTATTATTTCTGCTGCCCACCGCAAGCTCTGCTGTATTTTTCCCAGTGTTCCTATTTGGAGAAGGATTCTGTGCTGTTGAATTTTGATATTCCTAGTGTCCTCTGCAAAGGTTGTCTCTCATTTGAGTTGCTTCTTTTAACCCTTGGCAGTGGTTTTGAAGAGAAGAGGCACGTGAAGACGGTCTGAGTATTTTGTAAACAACCAAAGCTGATTTATCAAAAAGAGCACTTTTTTCTAGTGTAACGGTCTCTGTCAAACTTCTTTCTCTTTTCCGAGTGCTGGAGAATGTGCTGGGTCTGGCCTTTGCATTTGGAAAGTTAGAATGACGCCTCCTTCTCTGTTTTAATATATTTCACCTCTCTGAGGCAGACGGAGCGGAAGCTCACAAGGAAAAGCGATGCCCTTTCCTGTGGTGACATTAACCGGAATCACGTGGAAAACAATCCAAGCCTTGTAGGAAAAGGGAGCCATTAAAATGTGCCCTGAGCGATTGGCTGCACCCAATCTTGCAGCCTGGCTCACTCGCGGCAGCAGTCAGGAGGCTGCTCCCCTGGACGGAGAGAGCCTTGTTGTAGCGCCACAATTAAAATCAGCTCCTCTGCCAAAAATAAAAGGGAGGAGGGAGGGAGGAGAACATCAAAGACAGACTGAAATGTGTAGTTAGTAGTAAGAGTGGTCTCCTCTTGAACCAAAGCCTGCAGCGATTCACGGCCCCCTTGTTAATGAGAAATTTTGACCTCTGGTTTGTAAGTTAAACTTGTAATCCCAGCTAATGAAGTAAATCACTTCCAACTTGAGTCTGTTGTTCCCATCTGCTCTGCACACTGCGTCTGAGAGTGAGGATCCAGGTCCACACACACAGACTGAAGGGAAATATAATTATTCAGTGACCGCAGAGTTTCTTGCATGTTGAGGATGTGCTCGCAGTAACCCTGCAGGCATGGATTGTGGACCTGTCTGTTATTTCACTGTAACCTGTGTGTTGATAAGAGAGAGAGCCTGTTAGACTCTGGGTTGAACAGCAGGATTGAATGACACTTCAGGGAGGTAAGTTGGGGACCCTACACACTGCATTTCTTCATTTCTTCAGCAAATGGAAATCTTAGTTCCAGGCCAACGACCGAGCAGACAGTCTAGTACTTTGCATAGGGTAGAAGTCGATGCATATTTCCTGAAGAAATGCTGCTGAATGAAGGAAAGACTATTCGGGTGATGTGGAGCTCAGAGGGAGAGAAGAAAGCACCGCTCAGGAATGTGAGTCCAAGAAAGGCAGGGCTGAGGAGTCTGCGAGCTGCCTGACTTCCGGCTGCGCTGAGCCTTGGTGGGGAGGAGAGGAGCCGTTGTGTGAAACTGGGTACAGCTGGGATGCTAAGGGGCTTGCTTCTTCGAGTGACAGATTATAGCTGAGAGAAACGGGCTAAAAAATTACCCTATTTTAATTACGTGAGGGCAGAAGTAGGTATTAGGCTGTTGCTTCGTCTAAAAGGGATTTCATTCAGAGAGCTGTTGACATTCTGTTGGAGGTCCATGACACATCACGTTCTATTCCTCCCGGCTAGTCTAAATTCTCTAAAATTTTCCGGATTATTGTGTAAATTATCTTAGCTTCTGACCGGGAAACAATACTATTAATTTTTGGCCAGGAGACAACTCAGCCGCACAGTCTGGTGCCAGGGCATAGTGACCTGTCAGAGGTGAACCTTCTGGTCTTTGGGGAATGTTATCCCTCCCCCCAAGGGGAGGATGCCTTTTCTGGAGTTCAGGCCACCACCCTCCAATCTAGGCCGACTTTCCCAGTGGTGGGGAGGTGGCTGCCCTCGGAACCGGCTGGGATCACGAGCAATCAGTGGGACCTCCCATGGGGCAGGGGTGGCACTGCCCACCCTCTCTGTAGGCGGGATCTCTGTGACAAAAATCCCACAATGGAAAATGGCTCTTGTTCAGAAAAATCGGAGAAGCCGGAATTTTCCTTCTCCTATTGGACATCCTTGTCCCTCTCCAATCCCTTGGCAGGTATCAGCCTAAAACGTTTCTGAAGACTTAAAGCTTTCTAGGCCTAAGGAGGGAGTTTGGGAGGGAGGATGTTTTTAAACCACTGACTCCTGTTATTTCTGTTGAAGGGCACTTAGACCTAGTCTCCTTGTGTCTCTCTGGTTTTACATTAGACAAAGCGAAGCATTTGGGCATTTGTCCTGTTTGTATGACCCTGGAGAGAGCTCTGGGGTGAGTCCCCAGGCAGGAAAAGTCACTGACCGGTGTCTGAAATCTGAGGACGTCTGGGGCCTGAGGCTGGGCATTCAGATCTACTACAAACAACAGTGCGTTATACGTCAAGTGATTTGAATAATCTCATTTTTCCTCTAAATTTGAGCATGTATAAAATATTGATTTCATCAACAAGTGGAGCAAATGCCACAGCGAATCTGTTCTCCGATGGTGCACCTGGTATGTGGAGAAGCCTGTCGAGAGGGGCCGTGAACATAATCATGCTTTATTAGCTGCATGGGCTTTTTCCTTTGTTTCTTTTCATTTAATTCAAAGTGAAACAACTCAGCATGCAAAACTGAAATTAGCTGGGAAAAAAAAAAAGGTGTAAGTGAATAAACAGGCAGATCCATTAGAGTCGATGGGTTATCGGATCCCTTGCCACTCCTCAGACAGCGGCCTATTAAAAGCGGTAATGTTTGCTGCCGGCGGTGCCCCTGGCAAAGAAAGAAGGCCAAGGCAGGCCTATTTCACATGCATCAGACACAAGAATTAAATAGACCAATGTTCCCTAAAAGACTGAAGTACATCTCTTTCTGACGTTCATCTCAGGCAAAAATTCATTGATCTCAGTATGTCCCTTGGCAATTATAAAATATTAAATCCAAGTCACACTTTTCTAGTTGGCTTAATTTTTTCTCTTTTCACAGCTTTCTATTTGATCAATTTTAACAAGTTAGGAATAGCATCTAATAATAAAAAGTGCAGAGTTTAAAAGTTTGTTCTTTTGACATTCTTTTCTTTTTTATTTTGTTTTGGGTTTGCATTAACTTTGTGTTATATAAAATGACTTGAATGCCATTTTAACAAACAGAAAGAACATGAGTGAACCAGAAGGTTCTTTACTGAGAATGATATTCATTAGTAGGCATCCAACGATAAGGACAGCCTGATTTAAAGATTTTTATTTTTTTTTTTTAGCACATGCCCAAATAGCCTTCTTATTGTTTTGTAGTCATTAATGCTCCTCTATTCCAAAATTAGCATGTGGTTTCAGCTGGGAGTATCTGGTGGGGCTAGAGGTTTGACTGCGTTCCACTGAGATTTACAAAAGATGCAAATTCCTTTCCCCATTTTTATGCATATGTAATGTTTTAGTGTTTGATGTTTGTTAATTCAGAATATACCATAAATGCTAACACAGACACACATGATAAAAATGCAGAATTTTGGCAGCCCGTTTTCATTAGACCATCAGTATGGGAATTATTGGGGGGAAATGTTGCATAATAGTAACTTTACTCTCCAATTCTCCTTGCCATAAACTATGAGCACATCCCCCCAAATTTATAATTTATAATATATAGAATCATTTTATGTGAAATAATAAATTCTTCTGAAATAAAATCTATTATGGTCTTCTCCCTACATTTAAGTTTTCATATGGGAAAGTTATTCACCTGTTGTCTACCAATTCCTTTATTTAAAGCTTTATTTATATTATGTCATTTAATTCTTACCACAAATCCATGAGGTCATGGTATTGTCTCCACTTTTCAGATAAGAGGTGCAAGGGGCCCACGATCATCCAGCAACTTCCCTCTCTGGCCAGCCAGGCCAGTCCCTCTGGGGTTTTGACAGCAGGATCAGAAAGAAAGAGAGGAGGAGAGAAGGTCAGGGTGGAGAGGGAGAGGCCTGGGGGATAGTGCTGAGGAGTGTTGAAAAGGATGGGGCCACTGCAGTACGTCAGGGAGAAAGCAGGAGAGAAGAGCCAGGTTCAGAAGCAGTGCTGTGATCTGTGTATCTCCCTTAGACTGTTGGAGGAATGTCAGGATTGAACTTGGCTTATTTTGAAATTTATTATGTTTACATTGACAGATTGTGTTTCTTTGTCTGAGACACTACCCTGAGACTGGACCACATAGGTGATGGCTTTATAATTACTAAGGTTGTTTTGAATGGCCAATTACAATGTTTCAAAGAGAATTCAAAATAGAGCTGGAGCATGGGGACGAGAAGGCTCTAAGCCTGGTGGCTTCTGGGCTCCTAATAGGCTCTGCTTGGGTCTCTAAAGGGGCATCAGATGCAGAATTTTCTGCACAGTCTCTTTGTGGCTGCCATTGTCATTCTCCTCCTCTGCCTGTTTTCCCTTGCTGCCCGTGTGTCCTCACCTCGCTCACCATGCAATGATGATGCATTGCATTTTCCTCTCTGAGATGGCAAGAAAAGACCTCTCAAGGAGATGATTAGTGCCATAGGGGTCCAAACTGCCGTGAGCCATCTCTTGTCATGGTCCAGACAACGCAGGGCCTGCTGTGGGACCCTGAGCCCAGGGCCAGCAGTGTGTACCATCATGGTGGGCTCACCCACCTCTGCGTCTCCCACCGTGGTGTCCCCTCTCTGAGTCACTAGCCTCCATTAAGGTTTGCTCCCTCATCTGCATGCTGAGATCTCTTTTATCACTCCAGCACCTAGAACATGGCTTGACACAGAACAGGTGTCCAGGTAGGATCTGTTGAGCAGAAGGATGGATGGATGGGTGGATGGATGGACGGACAGACTGGAGAATGGTTGAGAGTATCTCGTAAACTCATGTCAGGAACTGAAATAGGCTACTCCTCCGAGGAGCATCGGCATTTTTTGGAAGACCTAATGTTGATGAAAATAATCAATAAACAATCTATGATAGGAATAGAAAAGAGTTTTATGTGAGCCAAACTGAGGACTATAGTCTAGAAGACAGCCTCTCGGATAACTGAGGAACTGCTCCGGAGAAGCACGGTTTTCAGCACAGTGTTATATCTTGGCAGAACAAGGAACATTAAACAAGTCTGGGATACATTCCTTCAGGGTTTCCATAAAAAACAGATCCGCACGTCCACAGTGAGTCAGTATGGCCTGGCACCTGGGAAGGGAGTCTTATCAAAGGAGTATGCATTGGCACCCCAGTAAGGTAGGCATTTCATCTTTATTTTTAATATGGACATTCTTTACTTCTGGTCAGTGCACCCTTTTCTAAATAATTAAAGCAGACGTACAACGTGTGTTTGATAGGCCACAAACAGTCTGCTTTAGTTAGCATACAGTTCAAGTTAATTCATGTATAAGCCAGAATGACTTCCCCTTTTCTCAATATGTGAACATTTCTTCTATCACTAGGAAGGATGCTACACACACCAAGAAATGTTACCCCAAAGTGGGGTTACCCAAAGTTTGCTCCTCTGACCACCTGTTATGCAACTTACCTGAGCAGCCTTTTCATTGGGTCTTTGGGCCCCACACAAGACCTACTTAATCAGAAATGTGTCTTTTTAATAGGTGCTCCAGAGGATTCTTTTGCACTCCAGTATTTGAGAAGTTCTGCTTTTCTAAAGGTAAGATTTTAGGAGTTAGGATGCTGATCTGCTGGAGGGGGAGCAGAAACTCTTCCCTGGTACCAGCAGCTAAAACCTCCTTTCTGCACCACCTACCTGATCCAAGGCAGCCCGAGGACCCAGCCCAGCCTCCTGGACACTAGGTGCCCTCCCTGCCACAAGGCCGAGGCTACATTCCCATAGCCCCCATCCCATCTCTCTCAGCAGCAGGCTTCTTCCTCACGCCCTGGGATCAGGGTGGACCTTTTGCAGCTTTGCCCTGCCCCCATGCTGCCCACATTAAGCTCCTTGAGTAGCAGGGACCTTGTGAGAGGCCCCAGGCCCTTTGGATCAGTGGTTCGCTACAAGCTTGTCCAATTCCCCCAAAGGAGGGAGACTAGACATTTCCTTCTGGGATTCTGGGAGGAATTCCTGGGATATAGAAGCTGTCAGTGTGGGCTAACGAAGCTATTTCTTCTTAGGTGGAGCCTCAGTTATCTCATCTGTAAACTGGGAGTAAGAAGAACAACCTCCTTGGTTGCTTCGGACACCACGGGAATGTGAGAAACCTTTGCAAGTCTTAAAATGCGCAAAGGCTCTGCGCATATGTGCCCATTTTAACCTTGAATCCTGAAGTGTATCTGGGGTGATTTCCTTCCTCCATTGGTGGATCTGGGGGAAGACTCTCCTCCCCTCCAGATCTGAACCTCTATGTGCCTTGCGAGAGAAAAGTGCCTCTTGAAGGTCTGTGTGCAGTGAAACTTTGCACAGGCTTTGAGGGTTGCAGCATGTCCCCACAATCCCCTTTTCCAGATTAAATGTTTGCATCTCTTGTTATATTAGGAATTAGACCTACTTTGTGATCATTGCACCTGAGTACCTGTAAAATACAAAAATACAGCAGTGGCTGGTGTCTACGAATTGGCTGTTTTTGGTGTGCATGCGTGCCTCCGTGTGTGTGTGTGTGTGTGTGTGTGTGTGTGTGTGTGTTTGTGTGTAATATATATTCAAGGCAGGCAAAACGGTTTACATATTCCCAACCCATGTTAACAAGATGTTCTTTCCTGAACATAACATGTTTCTGAAAATTCCTGAATCTTTCACTCTGAAACTCAACAATATTGTTATTAAAATGGTTCTGTTTAAAGAACACCTTGGTGAACTTTGTTTCCTTTTAACAACATGCTCATTTTAAAGGTCAGGGTGTTGAGTTGCCAGAGCAGTGACCTAAAAATAACCTTTCCCTTCTACCTGAGTTTCTGATCCGTGATGTTAGCATTTGGAAACGCTCTTTCCCTTCTAGTTTCTGCAGCTAAAGGAGTTGCAGCCCCTTCAGCTATACTCATAAAAATTTGCTTCCAGACAACATGGTCTGTTTATTGTGTAATAATCGAAATGGCACTAAATTGCAGTGATTGCCGAACACTTAGGAATTGTATTAACCTCTTAAGTGCTAAGTGGTTTGCTGTCGTCTCCCCACTCAGATGTGCAGCCCCAATGTGTTTCTGTCCCTTTGCTTCCCTCAGTCAGTGTCATGGGGGAAGCAAGTGTCCTCAAGCCCAAGTCCTGCCTGGGAGCAGGCTGGATCCTGCTGGCACCGCACTAACCAGAAGAGAGTCCTGCCTGACCTGTGGCAGAGATGATAAACTGTCCCTACCGGGGATCCCGAGAGGCTGGATTGGCCAGTCTTGGCCCACCAAGTCCCACTTCTGGCTTCAGCTGTGTTGTGTGTTTTATGACAGTTGCTTTATAGCTCAGTTTGAGAATTGATTCTCCAAAGAGCAAAGAGAATAGCTGGTCTTTCTGCCAGAGCCATCATCTTTGGGAAGCTGCTCCCAGTTGGGCGAGTCCCGGCTGCCCTACAGGAGGCCAGGTGGCCGTGGCCTTGGCGTCCCTGCGCCCTGCCCGCCGCCAGCCCTGTCCACACTGCTCTGGCGAGCGGCAGGCCCGGGAAGGAAGAGTTAACCAGAAATGGAGCGGCGCTGCTCCAGGGCAGGCAGCCTCGCTGCAGAACCGAGCAGCTTCGTGCAAAGGCAAGTCATTTCCCGAAACACTGCAGACACACGGCCTCGGGCAGCCTAAAACCTTTGGAGACCAAAATGGCTCGCAGGGGTTGGAAGTAATAAGGTGTTTTTCCCTTCTTTCTCCTTCACTGAAATTCTGCGAGGTTGCTCTGCATTGCTGGGGAACAATGGTGCTCTTTTTGTGTTTTCTATGGGTATTAAGATCCATTACGCTGTGACATTTTTAAGATTGGTTATCCTGTACTTTGGTGTTAAATTGAAGTTGTTTGTTTTGAATTTAATTCTTTCATTTTTCAAATGGAAAAGGCAGCTCTGCGTTGCGGTGAGGCTGGCTCACTGAAGTGTGCCCGTACTCATTCGGGGGTGGATATCTTTGCCATCCCCGGACCTCGGCAGAATTAGCCCTGATAGAACATGACCTATTTCTCTATTGGAAAGTCTGTAAGAATCCTGGGAGACGACTTTAAAAACTAGGAACTAGGGGTCGTCTCCATTGTATGTCGAGGGAGAAACAGGATACGAGCTGGGTTTTAGCAGAATGTTATACATCCAATCTGTTATGCCTAATGCAGCCTGCATATAATTATTACTACTCTCTGTTTACGACAGCAGCAAAATCAGCTTCCATCCAACAAATGACCCAGCAGCAGTGGGCCAGCCGCCTCTGAAATGACATCTGTTAACTCTTTGTCAAATGCCCTCTCGTTGTCCCTTTCTCCTAAACAGCTCTGTGGTTAATTATGACCTGAGCATATGACACAGTCTTTTCGAGTGGAGAGAACTGCTTAGGGGCAAGGAGAAATCTAGCTCCAAGAAATTGTCTTCTCTCGCCCTTCAAAAAAAAAAAAAAAAAAGCCATAGCAAATTGTTTTAAAGTAAACATTCATTTATTGCACCAGAATAGGTTGTTGGACTACGTTTTGATTAAGCACTAAGATTACAGGGTTATTGTATAGCATTGTGTCGAGAGGCCCAGCCATTCATGGAAAAAAGAATCACATCAAATTCTTGTCAAACCATAAAAAAGTTTCCATCAGAGGAACTTGGGCGGCCTTGATGCCTGTGAGCGGGGAGCTGGTATACATTTGTGCCACTGTTATCAACTTCATTAATGGTGAAAGGCAGTTTCATCTTAATTGGTCACTGGAACTTGGAAAGACCAATCTGATAAACCAGAATTTAGGCCCAGCCCCAATGAAGGAAGTATAAAGTGCCTTCTATATCCGGCTGCCCGGGGTTCGTGTGGGCTGGGTTTTCTCCCTGGAGCCTGTGTGGGGTGGCTGGTTTCCGGTACTGGCACTGACGTTCCATCTGGGGGCCTCCTTGCCTTCACCCCCTATGAGATGAGCTCAAGGATGCGAGTCCTAGGCCTTCACTTTGGATCCATACATCAGCGCAGGGCTGAACATGTGCCGATCTGGGTCTCTACTCTCTGCCTGCTCACGGCCCTGGGTTCTTGCAAGTGTCTCCCGCTGTGGTAGCCCCCTAGCTTCTTTGTGTGGAGATCATCAAAGGATTGCCGGGAACTGGGCTGAGCTGTCCCCCCACACAGGGCCACAGGGCTCAAGCCTGCCCTGGACACCAGTCCTTGAGAAATCCAGAATGGCATCCCTAACCTTGCCTGGGAAGGGCACTCGGGGGTTGAGGGGGTCCCACCGTGACTCAGGAGGGTCTCCCAGGCCCTTCTAGCCTGGAGGAAGCTCCTGATAGCCGCCTCCCAGCTGGACCCCTGCCTTGAGATTGAGGGGCGAAGTTAGCAGCCTGGGAGATTCCACAGCTTTCCATCTAAGACCCCAGGGAGCCCTGCCCTGTGTTTGGCCAACCCTGACAAGATAGCCTGGCCACAGACGTGACCAGGGACTGTTCTACAATCTGGAGACAGTAAATGGAAACCCATTCCAGACTGATGTTCTCAGATACTGTTTTCATTTCCTTTGTTGCTTCTGAAGGAAACGCATTTTAGTATAATTCAAAAACCACATTATCTGCCCAAATCCCATCTTTCCAGCAGCATCCTCTGAGTTGCTGCCCACATGGGTTCTGAGGCCTGCTCCTGCCCCTTGCCAGCTGGAGGGTCTGTGGGCTCACCTCTTGGAAACCACAAGGGTGAGAGGGGTCCCTGAGGGTCCCAGGTGTAAGCTTGTGTGAACACAGCAGTGCTGCCTCAGACGTCAGTTTCTTTTTACGCAGGCATTTAAATGTGTCTTTGCTTGGAAGCCAAGGCCAGACCAAGTAGATGGCGAGTTTTGGGGTAGAGGGAGCAAGTCCAGAGGTGGCCAGCTTGGGGAAGGAGGAGCGGCATTTCTGCGTGGATTTATTCATTCCCTAAGACCCTGACACGGAAGGTCCTAGACCTTGAATCAAAGTCGGACATTTCGGCTCTGTCCTTCCGTGCTGTGGCTCCAATCCCAATCGGGAATAAGCATCTGTGTGAGAGAGGTCCTGTTTCCTAATTTGTGGCAACTGGTTCCTCCAAGTAATATAATTATATTCAAAGTAAGTTATGTGATGGGAGCAGAATTTGAAGAGAGTATTGAAATGAATGCTTTGGCTTTGTTCCCTGCTGGCTTTCTGCCAGGGAGGGGGAGCTGCGAAATGAGTTTCCGAAACCATGCCCCACGATGCACAGCCAGATGCTGGGACAGATCTCATGTGGTCTTTTTTTTTTTAATTGAAATATAGTTGATTTACAATGAGTTAGTTTCAGGTGTACAGCAAAGTGATTCAGTTATTCATATACCATACACACACACACATACATATATATATATATATATATATATATATTTTTTTTTAGATTCCTTTCCATTATAGGTTATTACAAGATATTGAGTATAGTTCCCTGTGCTATACAGTAGGTCCTTGTTGGTTATCAATTTAATATATAGTATTGTGTATATTTTAATCCCAAACTCCTAATTTATTCCTCCCCCTTCCTCAACTTTCCCCTTTGGTAACCGTAAGTTTGTTTTCCATGTCTGTGAGTCTATTTCTGTTTTGTAAATACTTTCATTTGTATCATGTTTTGAGATTCCACATATCTCTCATGTGGTCTTGTGCCACATCGCAGAACCTTGGCCCTGGCTTATCCCTGGTCCATCCTGCAGACAGCATCTCCCCTGCGTGATTGGATAAACTGCCTCGTGTCACCCCTGCCTGCTTCGCTTGAGTTTTAAGAACTTGATCCTGGGAAAGGGAGGAGAAGGAGCTGATTAGGAGTCAAACCCCTCATGCCCGGACCTTGTGCCCACGCTGCGTGATAAGGTGCAGGCCATAGAAGTTTCCTTGCAGGTCCCCTTTCCCGAGATGCTCCTCTCCTGCTCGCCCAGGACACAGGTGGGGTGTGGACTCGCTTCAGGAGGGGCCCTGAAAAGTGCATCCGGGTCAGTCCTGAGGCCAGGACCCTTCTCTGCCACATCCACAGGGCTGAGGCTTTGGGCCTGAGACTCAGGACCTGAAGTCTCCTGTTAGACTCTGTCCTGGGGATGCACATGTGGATTAAATTAGAGCAATATGTTTTTCTAACAGCATCTCGGCTGAAAAGCCAAGCAGATAAATGGAGACAAACCCAGCTTTATGTGAATGAAAAGCGGCTGATGGGGGAGCCACTTCTGCCTGAAGCACCACAGCTGGCAGGGCTGCCCTCCTGGGCTTGCGCACCCTCCCACCTCCCCCTCCAGCCGTGACCCCGGAAGCACTCACCGTAGGGCTCCTTCTGCCTCTGAACACCCCTCACTGGGCCTCTGCTCTGGCCAAACCGGCTTCCTGCCCATCTCCAAACCTGCTGTGTTCTGCCCACCCCTTGGCCATGGCCGTCACCCATGCTGTGCTCTCTGTGCAGGATTTTCCCTCAAGATCGTCTGGCACCGTGGTGAAGAGTACACAGTCCACCAGAGTCACCGTGGGCAGGTCGCTTACCTGCTTCGTCTTCAGTTTCCTCACCTGTCAGTGGGGATGATGATGTCTACCCCGCAGAGCTCAGGGAGGACTGAGGGAATGATTCACATGAAGCCCTTAGCACGGCACCCGGGACGCAGCTAACATTTGTTGATCATCATCATCATCATTATTATTGTTACTACCACCTCTCCAAACACCACCTGGCCTCAGGGCATGGTTCTCTCTC